TTTGATTAGGGTTGGAGCAAAACTGTGCAGACCTGAGGCCCTCCAGGAATTGAGTTTGAGACCTATGCTGTAAATGATACAGTTGTTGTATATTATACCTATATTTGTTATAGTTTCATTGGTAAATACCTCTCCTGCTTCAATATGTGTGACAGAAAATGGCGGAGTACCGTTTGCAGAGATCGCCGGGCCTTTCCTAGCAGAGGGCGTAGCATCAGACTGCACTAGTGGCATGACTCTTCGGGAGCCGGTCATGTGGGTGATCGCATACACTCTGATGGGCGTCTGTGCTGTGGTTCTCATCATACTTCTCGTCTTGCTCATACTGCCCTGCCGACGACACAGAGATGACGAGATTACAGACGAGTCCTCCTTGGTGCGCCATCGCATCAAGTGACGTCAGGCATTTATCGAAGATGAGGATGCACCATCTCAGCAAAACGAGGCTGAAGAGAACTCAGGGCAGGTAACAGGGGTGAACATACTACAATGAGCTTTCCCCAGATGCTCTATTCCTGATTTGTGGGAGATTTATGGTTGACTGAACTTGAGACAAAGTGGACAAAATACTTAAAGATGAAGGAGACACGATTTTACGTTCCATTATATGTTCGATTCATTAATAACCGTGCCAAAATATGAGTATCAATCTCACATTTAAAAGGAGTATATGATGATTTTGATGCTCCAGTGTTTCTCCAAAGTGTGCTGCTGTTTTTATTAGTAATCCTCAATGTAATTGTGTTAATAAAGCTACTGAAAATCAGCAATGGTCTCTTGGGGCCTAAAGAAAGTTTTTGGACCAATATAAGGCAGTTAATTAGTTTTTCCATCTTTGATTTTATGCATAGAGACTTTGTTCACACTGCAGGTAAATGTGGCCTAAATTAAATTTTTTGAACAAAAACGACAATGGAAACGCATTTAACAAATAAATTCCAGCAAATTCCAAAAAAAAAAAAAAAGTCATGTGATTTTGTTTTAACTGATTATGTGATGCAGGGTTCAAAGGATTTTTCTACTTTCCCAACTGGAGATTTTGGTTCAGATTGTTACTTGTCCTGCCAAAACTTAACTAGCCCCACTAAAAAAAAAAAAGTTAATAGGTATTTCTTAGCCATGTTTTAAGTAACGTGTTAAAATAGAGTATGTGAATCTAGAATTTAAATATTTAAAAATGTTAATAAATGTATAATGAGCAAAATTCAGTGTTATGTAACCAAAAATAACAATATGAAAAATAGGCAGATAATTTATTGCAAAACAAAAGATTGCAGACTTGCCAAACTGACGGCAAACTGCAAAACATTGCTTATTTTTTTTCCATAATGACAATGTGAAAAAGATTTTTAGAAATTGTTGCAAATTTATTAAAAATAAAAAACCTGAAACATCTCATGTACATAAGTATTCACAGCCTTTGCTCAATACTTTGTTGATGCACCTTTGGCAGCGATTACAGCCTCGTCTTTTTGAATATGCCACAAGCTTGGCACACCTGTCTTTGGGAATGTTTGCCCATTCCTCTTTGCAGTACCTCTCAAGCACTATCAGGTAGGATGGGAAATGACGGTGTACAGCCATTTTTTTTTTTTAGATCTCTCCAGAAATCTTCAATAGGATTTAGGTCTGGGCTCTGGTTGGGCCACTCAAAGACATTCACCGAGTTGTTGTGAAGCCACTCTATTGATATTTTGGTGGTGTGCTTTAGGTCATCATCCTGCTGGAAGATGAACTGTTGCCCCAGTCTGAGGTCAAGAGCACTCTCAAGCAGGTTTCATTTAGGATGTCTCTGCACATTGCTGCATTCATCTTTCCCTCTATCCTGACTAGTCTTCCAGTTCCAATTCCTTTGTCTTCATGCTTGGTTTGTGCTTTGACATGCACTGTCAACCCTGGGACCTTATATAGACAGGTGTATGACCTTTTCAAATCATGTCCAATCAGCTGAATTTACCACAGGTGAACTCCAATTAAGCTGCTGAAACATCTCAAGAATGATCAGTGGAAACGGAATGTACCTGAGCTCAATTTAGAGTAAAAAAAAATGTATGTACATGTAATTTTTCAAGTTTTTTATTTTAAATAAAATTTCAACAATTTCGAAAAAACTTTGTGAAAAATGTGAAAAACTTTCACATTGTCATTATAGGGTATTGTGTGTAGAATTTTGAGGAAATTAATTGATCCATTTTGGAATAAGGCTGTAATATAAAAAAATGCGGAAATAGTGAAGCGCTATGAATACTTTCCGGATGCACTGTACAATGATTTTTCTTTCCATCATCATTGCAATAAAAACAACCTTACCTCAGGCTGTCAAGGATGTTGGTGACACTCCATGTCCCTCTCGATCAGCATTACTCATCTCCTTCTAGTGTTGGACATATCCGTGTTTTATCATTATTATTCCTAAATATAAGTTACTCTGTTTACCATTCGTGTGGGCTAAATACTTACAGGTTCGCAGTTCAAAAATGCGCGTTCTTCTTCTTCAATGTTTTGCGCGAGTCACGACACAGTACTTCCAGTTCAGTGAGAGGAGAATCAAAATCCCCTCAGCCAATAAGAATGAATCCCAGGTAAACCCACCCCCACGGAAGCTTTGTGTCACAATCGCAAATGTAAATTTGAGAAACGTAAACAAAAACTCTGGCAGCGCAATTAAAACTGCGTTTATCGAAAGCGAAGCAGAAAGTGAACCAAACTAATAATACTTTTTTTTTGAAGATGTTTTGTTGTTGTTTTTTTGCCATTTGGTTAATTGTTTTGTGTTTTTCGAGTGTTTTTTTTAATTTGTTAATGTATATCTGCATATAATGTATATATGCAAATTTTGTTAATGTTTCATCAACAAAGTACGGATTTAGTTCACATTACAACCATAACACGTAGCATGCCGTCACTTCATTATAGACCTTTTTCATGGCTGCTGCATGGAGGGCGCCATAGCGACCAGCGTCTTCCAGTAGAATGCTAAAAACTTCCGTTTACAGCGTGTACAACTGGTAATTTGCGCTCCGAAAATGGGTTTCATTAACGTTTTTAATGTATAACAGAGTGTTTTTGTGACACACAATTTAGAAGTGTGCCTGTTAAAGCCGTTATAATCTGTCACATGTGGTTCAAGCGCGTCAGAAATACGAGAAAAGCGTTCTCCTAGTTCACGTGTCTGCCGTCAGAAATACAGTGTGTTTGTGCGTTCCCGGCCTGTCAGCTGTTAGCTCAACGGCACACACACACACACACACACACACACACACGCACACACACACACACACACACACACACACACAGAGAGAGAGGTATGAAAGTTGTGCAATTTACAAAAATGACTAATAAAGGTCTGTTATTGATACTCTGCTGGCTGATTTGCTGTTCATTCTAATCGCGAGCCGTTTGTGTTTTATTTCGTGTTGTTTTTACCACGGTTTGTGTTTTTCTGTCACTACGAAATGACACTAGCCTATATTTTCACTTTGTCACTGTTATTAAATCAGTGTGTCAGTGGCACAGTACAGGCTACGTGTGTGTGTCAAACGTTTTGGTGAATTACATTTGTTTGGGCTGGTTATATATTTGAAATAAAGAGAAAATGTTGACTTTAGCGATGACGAGGCTTCATTTAAACTGCAGAAGATGCCGTCTGACAACGAGGGGAAAATGCCTCACAGCAGCTGTTTTCTATCCTATTAGATCGCATTTCTTTAAATGATCAGTCCAGGAGATGCTGCTGATGGACAACAGTATTAGTTCAAAGAGGATAAAAGCAGGTAAAATAGATTAAAACTGTCGTTTCAAAGCTGTCCAAATGTGACTGTTTACACGCATCAGCTGCCGACCGGAAGTTCTTCGCATTCTCCTTGCGCATACACGCAAAGCATAATGGGTAATTTTGCGTTCCAAGAAAAAGGTCTATAGGTTCAGTTTACTAATAAGGTGACTGCACCAAATACTGGCCTGGAATATGAAATACAGCATTTTTGGTCATCTTCGTGTATGTAGTCGTGTAAACATGGGCTAGGTCCGAATCCACATACTTCCAGACTATACAGCAAGTGTTTCTTAACTGATGGGTCGCGACCATGTGTGATAAAAAAAACAAAACAACAAAAGTTAAAATGTTAACTCATTCTGCTTATATCGGACTTTTATTTTGAAATGCGCGCGCGACAACCGTACCGTTTGACATGTGAAATTTCATTTAATTATAGCAACAAATATGTTGAAGCGCAAGTACGACCCCGAATATGTAAAGTATGGATTTACATATACTGACGACAAAAAAGGTTTAAAACCTCAGTGTGTCATATTTAGTGAGGTGCTCTCAAAGGAGAGCATGTAATCTTCAATTGAAACGACATTTAGAAACCCAACATTCCCGATTGCAAGGACAAACCTGTGGACTATTTTCAAAGACGACTCCAAAAGCTGAGGGCATCACAAAAGTGCTGAACATCTTCCTGTTCAAAACAAGTACAGGCACTCCGCGCATTACTGTGTAGCTCACCGCTTAGCAAAGTCCAAGAAAGCACACACAATAGCAGAAGAGCAAATAACTGGTGATTATTGTAAAAATGGTTATGATTATTTTAATGATTTTCTTTAATTTGCTGGTTTGTTCTGTTTAACCAGATCAGAGTAATGTTTTATTAACAGTTCAGTTTAGTTAATGGTAACTGAACTTTTCCTTACCCTGACCACTGTTTACAATATTTGACGTTTTTACTCTGTAACATTACTATAATTTGAGACATTTTGATTTATCGGTCTTACTTGAGTATGTTAACGAATAAATACAAATGAATTATAATTCCTAAAATTATATTATAGTTTCTAAACATTTGGGTCGCAGCATGATGACCATGTAAAAATGTGGGTCCCATGACCAAACCAGTTGACAACCACTGCTATACAGTATTCTAAAATTAGTATGCGAGCCGAGTAGTATCTCTGAATTACTAGAATTCAAAAATCAGTATGCAAGACAATCCCAGATGACCTACTACTTCCGGTGAGAATCTAAAGTGTGCATCTGATGGACGCTAGACTCTCCCATGATACCTCACGAGAGAGTTCATGAATTGGAGTGAAGCTACATAACTGGTACATGTGACCATGACAAAATGGCAGATGTAGTACGTCTGAATTCCATTCATACTGCTCACATTCATACTGTATAGAACGTACATTTCTAACGGCCGAGTAGTACGTTTAAATTCAAATGTAGTACCTACTGAGTAGTAGGCGGTTTCGGACACAGCCATAGCCTAAGTACTGCTTTGCATTTCAATGAGCTAAACGGCCAAATATTATGCATGAAGGGGCCTTAAGGGCGTAACTTATAGTACGTTAGAGGTCTAGCTTGAAGTAATGGAGGCATGTCAAAACTATCAAAAATCTGAATCAGTTATTAACGTCTACACCTACTCCACACCTAAACCCAACCATCACTGTTATTAACGTCTACCACAACCCTACCCCAACCATTACAGTTATTAACATCTACACTTACCCCGGCCATAAAGCCAACCATCACAGTTATTAACCTCTATACCTACCACAACCCTAAACCCAACCATCGTCGTTATTAACGTCTAGACCTTGCCCAAACTTAAACCCAACCATCACAGTTATTAAAGTTTACACCAACCCCAACCCTTAACCCAACCATCAGTTATTAACATCTACTCCTTCCCCAAACCTAAACCCAACCATCACAGTTACTAACATCTACACCTACCCCAAACCTAAAATCTACCATTACGGTTATTA